TCTTGTCATCCTATTTGGCTAGTCCCAAAGGTTCTCTTCTCTCTCTACACTGTCCCTCTTAGAAACCTCATCATCTCCCCTCGGTTTAATTATCATCTCTATGCTGATTATTCATAGATCTATCTCTCCACCCCAGTCTTCCCCCTGAACTTAAGCTCGACATCACCAGGTACCTGTTGGACATTTCAGACAGTGTTTGCTGGAGACATCTTACACTCAGCTTGTCCAAAATTGAGTTCATTATCTTTTCCTCAGAACCCTCCACCCTTTCAGACTTAGCCTATTTCTGGAGAAGGCATCAGGTTCTTAACCTTGGCATTATCCTGGAGGACCCGGCGCCTCTCCCTGCACATATCTAATCCCCTCCAAAGTGCGTTTGCATCCAGCGCCTCGTCTCCACTCGCACACCCGCCTCCTTAGTTCAGACCCTCACACCTCCCGTGAGTAACTGCCTCATCGGGCTCTCCCCAAGCATCTTCTCCATGCTGCTTCCAGAGGGGTTGTTCTTGCGCACAGATCTGACTCTCTCCCTTCCCGACTCAGCCAACCGCCAGGACTCCCAGTCATCCCTAGAATGTGATGGAAACTGCTCCGTGAAGCTTTCCGGCTCCTTCTCCACCTGGCCCAGTCTGGCTTTCCAGCCTTATTGGATGTTGAAGCCTCTGCCTTACTCTGCACTAAAATCAGACTCTCCGTTTCCCCGTCTGTGGCATTTCGTCTCCCGTCTGCACACCTTGACGCTGGCCGTCCCATGCCTGAATGCACTTCCTCCCCACCACGGCTTCATAGGTTCCCTCCCTTGCTGTTAGACGCGGCTCAAGCCCGGCCTTCTGCACGAGTCCAAGACCGCTGCCCTTCCTGCCAGACAGATTCCCGTCCAACTATTGTGTATTTGTTTTCTTTGTATTTACTCTGTACATGCTTCTGTAGGCACTTGTCATCTGCGTGGTAATGTTAGCCCCTTGGGAGTAAAGATTGTTTCATTCTTTGTGTTTTCATCCCCAGTGTTTATCACAGTACCTAGCACACAGTAGGCACTTAATAACATTAAGGATGCCGATAGCCAACATTTACATAGCACTCTAAGCTTGAAAAGCTTATATTTATACTCCCAGCAACCTGTGAAATTACTGCTGTTATTGTTGCCATCTTACAGATGAGGAAACTGAGGCACAGAGAGGTCAACGGATTTGTCTAGGATTACACAGCTAGGATCTCAGAAAAGGTTAAACTCAGGTCTTCCTGGCACCCAGACCAGAGTTCTCTCCTCTCTGCCACCTGCTTATTGCTTGATTGATGGTATTAGTGAGCACATATTAAATGCTTGCTGTGTGCTGTTCACTTTCCTGGGTATGAGGGGAACAAAGACAAAAACGAGAGTCCCTTCTCTTAGATTGCCTTCTTCCATAAAATGTTCAGACAAAATATATTTTTAAGAAGGATCAGTTAGCCCCTGGAGGCTTAGAAGAGCCTTTTTGTACTGGTTTGTACATTATTGGAAAGGATTCTAGGAAGAGGCGAGGAAGGACCGCGTGCTAGGGCCACAGTCTGTGAGGACGAGGGTTTGGCTGCGTAGGAGAGTCACAGGAAGGGCAGCGATGGATAACCCAGGATCAGAGAGAGGGTGGGACCAGGTGGGCTTTGAAAGACTAACTGGGGGAGCTTAGATGTGATCTGAGAGTTTGCCGAGGAGGGAAGTGATGTGACCAGACCTGCGCTTTGTGGAGGAAGGCTGGAAGAGACAGGGAGAGAGGCTAGGAGGCCATTGTAGTAGTCTGGGCAGGAGGTGATGAGGCCCTGAACAATGAGGGCAGTGACCATACGGAAGGGTCTTGTAGAGGAAGCACTGATGAGTCTGGCGGCTGAGGGGATATGTGGGGTAAGGTTGTGAACCTGGGGGACTGGAGCGAGCAGGGCACCCTCGATAGGAGCAGGCAGGTTGGAGGGCTTGGGAGGAAGACACGAAGTCTAGTGTGGGACACACCAGCTATGGAGCCAGTCTGCGGGCTGCTCCGAGACCCCGGAGAGGTCATCTGGCCAGGCCCACGGGGGCAGGGTGACTTGGGAAGTGATCCCAGGTCATCGGACTCCCAGTCCAGCCTTCCTTCCACTGCACCACAGCTTGCTTTTGTGGGGTAGTGGAGAGTGTGCGGGGCTGGAAATCAGGAGACCAGGGCCAAGCAGCAGGGTGACAGTGCACAAGCCGTTATGTGCACTGGGGCTCAGTTTTCACACTCTGAAATGGACGTGTCTGGTTGTATTATTAAACTCCTACTGTGTGCACACCTCCATGCCAGGGCCTAATGGAGATGAAGAGATTCAGTGCCTGCCTTTATGAAGTTTCCTGTCTAGCAGGGAGATTAGGACCTATTCATAAACATACAACCAGCATGGTAGAAACCAAGTGCCGTATGAGGCACAAGTAATAACAATCAGTAACCACCATTACTGGGGAAAGAGAGAGCTCTTGTACCTGCAGTTACGTTACTAGAGGGATCTCCTAGGATGAGGAAATTCCGTCTGCCGATGGAGCTTGGCAGGCATGGAGAGGTTAAGTGTCTTGACACACAGTTGGTGTGTCCGAGGTGAACCTTGACCCACGTTTTCCCAACGTCAAGGACAATTCTCTGTCCCCTACACAACTGTGGCTCTCTTACTCACAAATATGTTACTTATATTTATATCTGATCTCAAAGGTAACATGATTGGTTTTTAATAGAAAATCATGTGAGTTTCAATTTCATAGAGAACTGAACCTTTATGGAAGAGATTGTAGACAATGTAATTATTATCTAAAAACAAATTGAAATTTTAAATTGCATTTTAAGACATTTGCCTTTGATTGGTGATGACAGATAAAGCAGAGAAAGAAAGACGCAGTTACCTCTCCATTTGGAGACAAGGCCTAATAGAACATGTCTGCGTGGACAGATGATTATACCTTTCTTTCTCTGCTGTATCAGTCATCATCACCCGAGGGCAGATGGATTGTGTTGAGGCCAGTTGTGTCTGCAATGTGTCAGCATCTTTATTGGTCCATTCAAGTTCCAATCTAGGAGGGAGCCATCTGAAATTATGGCGCACTCTTCTTTGCCTTTAATAGTTGTGCTTAAGCCTTTGATCTCCTGGTGGTCTAGAACCTTGTTGGAAATGTTTTTAGTTATGTTCCCTAACTCTACTTTCCTTTGAAAGTATGATCAAATGGACATAGGACTTTTTTAGGAGTGCTAGAATCTAGTGTTAATCCCTCCCTAACCTCCTTATGAACCTTTAACTCGTTCATGTTTATGTTAGTTTTTTAATTAAAGTGATTAATATTCTCTCCTTCCCTGCCTCATTAGAATGTTGCAAAATCACCAAAATAATATATCTGAAAGTGTTTTGAGTTTTGAAGAAAATTTTGAAAGATAAGGACTTCCTTCTTTGCAAGGTCTGGCTATGAGGTAATGAGACCAGTTCCCTTCTGTGGCTTATGGGAAAAGGGACTCATTACTTTAAAGTCCTACCTTGTATGGTGAGCCGTGTGTTGTGGGTAGTTGGGCAGCAGGGGAAGAAGCATACTCTGGAGAGTGAGAGGAGCCAGATTGACTCCCATCCCTGTGCAAGTCATTTGACCTCCGTGATCCTCTCTAAAGTGAGAGGGTTAGATGAGATGACCTCTCTTATAGCTCTGGAACATGATACTAAGAACATAAAATAAAGTTGCCGCCGAATTATTTCTATTATTTAAATTCTAAGTATTTAAAACATAAATTTTCCTTTCTTTTATGAAATAGTATAGATCACTGAAAACTAATAACTTGTCACTGATAGCAAGACCTTCCTTTGCTCATTTTAAAATTCAGTCCTTTTCAGGCAAAGTGAAATGCTACAGAATTTTAAAAATTTCTATTTTCAATTTTCTAGTGAGGAATTTACTTTGAAACATAGGATAGAAAGGTTTGCCCTTGATAATTTGAAGGTGAATTTAGCCTCAACTACATGATGTCTTCCCTTCCTTTATCAGACCCGAAGTAAATAACTGCATTGGATTTTTTCATGGTTTTCATGGTTATTGTGATACATCTATTACCCACCTTTCTCAGAAAGTAGTAGAAGATCATTAAAAAGTTCTGCTTAGTAGTTATTCAAGTATCTCCACAGAGCATTTTTGCAGGTAATGGCCTTTATAAAGCCAACTGCAAAGCCTTCTGACTCTTCCAGTCCTAGAGACCATCTGCCAGTTGGACAGAAATATGCACGTGACTTGAAAACGTGCTAAATCAAAGGCTCTTGTCTGTTTGTGTTTACCCTACAATTCCACATTACTCTGGAACAACAAGATGTTTATTTTCTGCTCACGCCCATGGTCCCATCTTCATGCTGGTGAAGGCTTCATTCTGAATTAACAGAGGCAAAAATTTATGTCAGGGACATAACGTTCTAGTTGCTCAGGTTTGACGTCTCTAGATCATTTTTACCGTTTCCTTGCCTTTTTCCCTGCAGCCAGCCAGTCGTCAGGTTCTCCTAGGTCTTCTCAGGGGCCCACATCCATTCCTTCCTCCTACTCCTACTGTAGCAGTAGCCACATGGCATCTCCTCTCTGGACCGTTGCAACAATCTCAGGTCCTGCCTCTCTCCATCCTTGGTCTTCCCTTTCTCACCCAGCCTGCACCAGCCTCCGCGGCTTCCTCTTCATCTCCTCCTTCACTGCTTTCACTTGGACATTCTCTGCTCCAAAACCTCTTGGGATTTATAGGAACCTACAGGGCCAACTCCGTACTCCTAAATCTGACATTCACAGCCCCTCACAGGCTGGTCCCCACCCGGGCATGAAGCTTATGTTCTAGGGAGACCACTCTGTTCTTTAAGTTTTATTTTCTCCAAACATTGGTGTGTCCTCAGACTCAAAGGGTTTTGTTAATGATGTTCCCTCCCTCCTTCCCCACACTCTTCCAACCCTCTAAATACCGCCTGTGCTCCAGGATCTGGCTCAAATGCGTTTCTTTGCTCATTTTCAGGAATGGCAGTGTGCACAGTCAAAGGGCTGTTTCTTCTTGGAAGAAAATGGCGAGATTGTCAGTCATCAGTACAAGATCCATCTAGCCCAGAGATCCACAGTCTATCTTACGATTAGACCTCTGAAGCTGAGTCAAGAAGAAGGCAAGTTGACAGTTTCTATCTTTTCTTTTAGAAAGTTGGTGAACAGATGTTGTCACTACAAGTGTTTGTAGGAGTAATCCATGTTTCCGTTTCATGAAGAAATCAACACATGTTCCCATAGTAGTAAGAGTGTATGAGAGTTTGAAGTTCCAAAGCCTTGGTACCAATAATGGGATTGCTTTAGGTATCTTATTAAGATATGAGGTTTTTAAAAATTTTAAATCTATAAAAGCAAGGAAAAATCTGATGCCTTTTGTTAGTATGTGATGTAAAACTAGTTGCCAGTGCACTAATTTTTAGATTTTCTATTTCTGGCCTTAATTTTTTTTTTTAATAAGTTTGAGAAAAGGTCTTGTGAAGCATTGAAAATTCTACTCTTCTCTCAAGTACAATGCCTCAGGGATGATAAATATTGACCACAGAGCAATAAAATTACCAGTGTTTTTGACTCCCAGGTCTGAAGTCAGATTGATTTAAACATCCTTTATCCAGTCATTTCAGCCATAAATGGGCCTGCTTCATTATTATGCATAAACAAAGGGCATTATTAGATAACACATGCTGTGTGTTATTTGTTCATTTCTTATGATAGACCTTTCCACAGCTTGGCGTGTGAACGTTTCTATGTAAGGATTTGTCCAGTTGTGATACTATATATAGGCTATGCATATATATATATATATATATATATATATATATATATATATGTATATACCAGTGTTACATTGATATTATGTATGTGTGTACATAGTATTGCAATTAGAAAAGTCCATATGTGTATAGATATATACATATATATATGTATGTGTATATATTCTTTAAATGGACCTTTGATTTCATCCATGTAGCATAAAAACTCTTCATTAGTGTAAAATGGCGTCTCCCCTGTGACTTCTGCCGTTTCTAGTCTCAGAGAGCTGCCCGGGGTCCTGAGCAGTTGCTGAGCAGTCGCATGGCTTGCCCAGGGTCCCCCAGCTAGTGGATGTCAGAGGCAGGGCTTGGCCTTCCTGTCTCCTCCTGCACATTTCTTCCCAAGCTTGGACCTACAATGGACACTCTAGCCACGGTCCCTCTTCAGCCTCTCAGCCAAAATGTTCCGCCAGGTTTTCGTCCTGCATAAACATGAACGGGTTAAAGTGAAAACGACTGGCTGCTATTGTGGCCCCTCCCTGTGGTGTAGGGACAGAACTCTTTCTAGTTCCCATTACTCTTTTTTTATGGAGTTTATTTTTAATTATAGGATATGAATTTAACAAAAATAATAATAAATGATACTCTCAACTAGCAGTTACAGTCAGTAATTCATTAAACATTTATTAAGCACCTACTGTGTGCCAGGCGGTGTGCTGAGTGCTGAGGATACAAATAAGAAAAAGAAAGACAAACCCCTACCCTCAAAGAGCTTACAGTCTAGCAGGAAGGGAGACAGCACACAAAAGGAAGCTGGAAGGGGGGTAGGGAGGACTTCAGTGTATCTCGTTCCGTGGAGTTTCAAACCAAGCAGAGCTGCTGATGAAAAATACCATCTAGAGAGCCTGCTGTGCGCCAGGCACTGGGCTAAGCCTCTTTGAATCCTCACAACAGCCCTGGAAGGAGGAGCTGTTATTACTGTCCCCATTTTACAGATGAGGAAACTGAGGTAAACAGATAATTTATTTCTTCAGAAATTTGGAATAAGGATTGAAGATGGCAGCTAGGGGACACAGTGAATAGAGTACTAGACCTGGAATCCTGAAGACTTGAGTTCAAAACCACCCCCAGACATTGACAAGCTAGGTGAGCCTGGCTAGCTCGGTCTGCCCTCGTTTCCCCATTTGTTAAATGGAAATAATGATACCTCCGTCCCAGGTCTTCATGAGGCTAAAATGAGGTCATAATTGTAGCGCACCATGCAAACCTCACAGAGTAGCCTGTGGACTGTTATTGCAATGGCCGTGTGCGGTAGGTCTGTCAACGAAAGGGGATTATTGATCTCCCATCAGCATCAACAATTATTAAATCGTGGCACAGAATTGAGGCAGACAGAATTCCTGTCCTCTAGTTTAAGACTTTCAGAAGATAATTAGCACAGACCTTCTTACACGCTGCATTATGGCCGGGCCTCAATGCTACCTTTTTATGTCTGAAAATTAAAGGTAGAATAGGCAGTTTTTGAGTTTTTGAAAAAATTTTGGTGGAAGGGAACTAGGGTACATTTGCTGACTTGCAGCTACTCAGGAAAAAGGCTGATTGATTGTTGTTTAAAGGAATTTAAAGATGTTTGTTTGTTTTAGGATTATTACCTCATTGGTTGCCAGTGGACACTGCCTTGTATCTTCTCAAGGAAAGTGAAGGTCCGGCGAATCTGCAGCTTGTGTGTTTTACTGAATTGCGGAATAGAGAAGTACCTATTTTCTTCACATTTCTAATATTAATTTTTAAAATGCCATATGTACACAGGTGAGGAAAGTTCCGGTGTGAGGTAGGGAGCACATGTTCTGTGCATGCTGTGAATTCTCAAATTATTTGTTGAGCATTTTGTCGAAGGGTGAGCGATGGCCTTATGACTAGGAGACCTGGGTTGTGGTCCTCAGTGGGGCCGTCGGACTAGCTTTGGGGCCATAAACATTTCATGAACCTCACTGTGCCTCGGTTTCCTCATCTGTTAAAGTGAAGATTTGGATCCATGACTCTTAAGACCATAAACTCCAAAATTCAGCAGACGTTGAGCTCCTCTGCACAGGGGACTGTGCGAGATGCTCAGAGAGACACAAATCAGTTGCTTCCCACAAGGAGCTTATGTTCTAATGGAGGAAACAGCAGCAACACAGATAAATAGATCCAAATGATTTTTTCGCTAGGAACAGCACTAATGACTTGTGTCTGAGACAGCCCTGGAGCTGAACTGCCGGGGGGGGGGGGGGGGGGGGGGGGGGGGGGGGGCCCTCTCCCGCCGGGGCAAAGGTGCCCCACGGGAGATGGGGGGGGGCTGTGAGGCAGGGGAGGGGAAGGAGGTGAGAGCCAGAACCCGAGGGGCTCCATGTACCAGGATGGAGCATTTCCAGTGACCTGAGCCTTGCACCTTGTGAGACAGGTACTCTAGCTATCCCCACTTTACAGTTGAGGAAACTGAGGCTCCGGTTGAGTGACTGACCTGGTATTGACTCTCAAGCCCAGCGCTCTCTGCCTACACACGAATGTATTTCTCATGTGACTTCTTGAATGGCAGCAGCCTCGCCGTGCCTTTAGTTACGGTTTTTAGCCTCGTTGGGGACGTAGCATCATACCATGCCTATCTGGTATTTAATGAATTATTACTGAATAAAAGTAAAGATTCTCTGTGGAATCTCCTGTGTACCAGGAGTCTTTTTTTCTTTTTTAGCCTCTGCCCTTTCAGTCTCATAGGGATCTAATCTAATATTGTTATATTAGATTGTGTTATGAAATTTTAATCAGCATGAACCTTGCTCAGCACAGCAGCACTACTAGAATATTCTCACATGGACAAAGTTTAGGGTTTTCATGGAAAAATGATTGATAATAGTGGATTTTTTTCTAAATGAAAGCATCTAAGACTTTGGAAAAGTTAGTTCAGCTGTTTTTCTCAATTATCTGACTAAAAAAGAGAAAAATATTATGTTCACTTTGTTGAGGCTTGATTTATATTTGCAGGGTTCAAAAATATATTGATATGACAAAACGGGTTTTTAAAAACCCCTGTTTTACCCATGGAATTGTTCTGATTTTTTCTAATTATATATTTACTCAGAGGCCAAATATGTGAGGCAGATACATAAATGTGACCATTTATTTTATGAAAACTACAAAATACATCTGCTACATACCAGATATAACACTATTCAAGGACTTACTGCAGTCTCATATTTAATCTTTATATAGGCCCAACGACAGACAAATATTTCCCTGATGTAATGTTACATAAAAGTCTTTATTGGAGGCCTCCTAACAGACAAGTGTAGTTATAGGCAAGGAAATATTAAATGACAGAATGCAGTGTTTTGGCTAAACTCTTCTTCAGAGCTGACTACCAAGTTAAGTTCCAGATAAAGCATTGTCCAAAACAATAGCTTTTCCCATTTTGTTTTAGGGAAAATGACTTTCATGTGAGATTGCCTCTCTGTAAAATGTTAGTCTATTGGAAAGCCTGTAATAAAGTTTGAATGAGATTCTGCTTGCCCTTTTATTATACACATTTCTGTTTGTGTGAAGGAGGTATGATTTGTCATATTTACAAAGGGGTTTTTTTATTTTTAGTTTCAGAATTACTTTCTTTAAAGAGAGTTTAGTAACTGTAAAAGAAAAGTAGATTTTTTTTTGTCTTTGCCTTCTATAGCAACATTCGGGGCTGGGTACAGAGGATAGTCGTGGGAAGATAGAGCTCCCCCAGCCATTCCTTCCACTGCTGGCTGCCCATAAACCACCATCTGTGTAGACCTGGCCCCCCTTCATTTGTCTGAATGACCCTGGGAGTGCTTAGGATCCTCACTAAAATGTTGTTGGAGTTACTCTGTGTGAGAGAGGTTGGTTGGGGTCAGAGTCAGGGCTTACCTTGGGGCTCGGCCCCTTTATCTGGGGGTGAGAGCATACCTCTGATCTCTCAAAACTGGAAGAAATCCCAGCTCTGCCAATCAGGTGAGGAGGTGGTGCAGAGGAGAGCACATAGGGCCTGAAGACTCGAGTACAAATGTGGCCTCAGATACCTACTTACCTGTGTGACCCTTGACAAATTACCTAACGTCTTTCTGCTTCAGTTTTCTCAGCTGTAAAATACTGCCCAGGGCTGCTGTGAGCATCAGATGAGTACCTGTTTGTAAAGCGCTTAGTACGGAGGATAGATGGCTCTATGCTCAGCCATTCTGCTGCCGCAGAACTTAGGCCTTAACACTAACTCTCTGTCTGAGGACTTCAGCCCCGCCTCTCCTCCCCCAAAAGAAGCCCTGGAGGCCCAGGGTAACTGCAGACAGCCCCACCGTTCTAAGCTTGCCTCCCGCAGGTCAATGCCTCTTTTATTGAGATCCTTTAAAAACTGACTGTGCAAGTAAACCGCAGCCTCACTCTTACTTTGCCATCCAGGCCCAGGGGAAGGAGACCTGGAGGAGAAGAGCTGCACCTTTGTGGTAAAACTGCCATCATGGGAGCTTTCCAGCCTCCAAAAAAAGCCATCTTCAGAGGTGATGTGTCTGTGAGAATTCCACTAACGCCAAGTGAGTGCACCGAAGACAGGTCGACGAGCCAGAATGCCAGTGAGGCATTTACAAGGGTAGACAGCAGTGGTGAGGTAGGCAGACTCAGTCATCTGCTGGAGGTCCACATAGGCTGTCTGGGACCATCTGCCCCATACACAGACGAGACACTGGGTATAAGGTGTAAAGGGAGTTCTTCCTAGACACAGACCATGAGGATTAGGTTCTAACTCCCGAAATACTCAACACCTGGTTATAAAACATGACCTCCAGGGACCCCCACTAGTGAAGGGCTCACATACTTAGAGTTAGTCTGGCTCACACAAACCATGTGTTCTTTTAGTTCTAGTAATTGTACTCATCTTATTTGAAAATCTATAACTCATTTCATTCGACTTTGACTTAATCATATTTTTATCATAACAGGAAACTGCAATTTTCCTTTAAGATCAATAGCTTCTTATAGAATCATACTAATTTTTAATTAGAAATGTATTTCCATAAAATGAGGTCATTGAACTAGATGATCTCAAATATTCCTTCCAGCTCTAAATCAATATAATATCAATGACATCTAAATCAATATGATAATGTGTGGGGTTTTTCCCATGTGACAAAACATCTATTTTGTGGGTCACTTTTGTCAGAGAACTCATCCCCTACCGGCCAGCACTCTACCAGCTGGGCTTTTTTGTACTTGGGCCGTCCTTATGTAGCACATCCACTCTGTGACCCTGTGCTAGTGACTCCCGGCCTTTCTCACTGGATACAGAAGGGCTCGCAGCCTCAGCTTAAGACAGGGGACGTTAGGTGGGCCTCTGCCCAAAAGGACAGCCTTCCATTCCATGCTTGGTCTTTTTTTTTTTTTTTTTTTTTTTTGGCTAGGCAGTGGGGTTAAGTGACTTGCCCAGGGTCACACAGCTAGTAAGTGTTATGTGTCTGAGGCCGGATTTGAACTCAGGTCCTCCTGAATCCAGGGCCGGTGCTCTATCTGCTGCGCCACCTAGCTGCCCCCCATGTTTAGTCTTGCAGTACCTTCACATTATACAAGAAGAAGCAGGTGATTCAGCAGTCAGTCATCTGCTCTATTTCCTTGAATGACAGGGATATTAGTGAAGTAAAAACAGGACTTTTTGTTTAAGAATTTCATCAACTGCATGAAAAAGGCAACTCATACTTCATACTTCCCTGTTTGGCAGCACAAACATTAGTAAACATTGTAACTGCCCCTCTGGTATAGGGAGAAGGGGAACATGCATTTATTAGGCACCTCCTGCATGCCAGGCGCCATGCTGAGCACATCCCATTTGATCTTCACGACAGCCCCGCAGGGAGGGGCTGTAGTGGTGATAGGTATAAGGGGTCTCCAAAATGAGTGGAAGAGCCCTTCTGCTGATGGCGGTCTTTAGTTTCACCATGTCCTGGGGATGACCCGGGCATCTTGAAGGCTGTCCCAGCAGTTACCAGCTCCAGCAGAAAGCCTCCGCGAAGTCTGGCCTGGTTGTGACCTGGGTGTCCGTCGTCTGAGCGTCAGCCTTGACACATTCAGAGAGGCCAGCGAATCCAATGGAGAAGGCTTGATAAAGCACAAAACACTGCAGAAATAGTAGCTGTTATTCTTTTAGTCACTGGGCACTGATTGTTATTTGGGCCATAGCAACTCTTGGTAACCGCCTCTTCAGTCATCATTGTGTTTACTGTCCATAGAGACGAAATCATGAAGCTTAGGAATCTTTGACCTGGGTTTGAATTCTGTCTTTACCATTATACTACCTATGTGTTCTTGAGCAAGTCACTTCTCCAGCCTGGGCCTCAGTTTCCTCGTCTGTAAAATGAGGGGTTTGAGCTTCATGACTTCTAAGGTCTGTCTAGTCTAGTTCTAATTCTATTATCTTACAAAGTCATAGATTCCTAAGAGTGGTGAATATTGGTTTTAAACAAACCTAAAGTTAATACTGGTAAAGACTTATAGAGTTCCCTTTTATTCTTTTGAGAATAGATGTATGGATGGAGTGGTGAATTAGGATCAGGACTTTATTATTTAATTCCTTTCACAACTGGCTGTTGGCTGAAGAAGGAGAAAAAACACATTACGGAAGAAGCCAAGCTTGTGTGCAGAGGTGAAAAGGGAGAGTTGTTTCTTACAAAGAAATTTAGGTAAGCTTTATTTCCGGGAGGACCGTAGCCCCTTTCTCCTAGCTCCACGAGGTAGCCCAACATCGTCAGACCTAGAAAATGGCCTGCCCACGATGCACAGCAGTGCACAGCGTCTGCCTCGCGGCCTTCCTTCCAGCAGTACGATCTGTAACCCACCCGTGCTTGCCTGGGGGGCTGTCGTATCTGCCTCTCCCCCGACTCATCACAGGAGGCCCAGCTGCTGTGCCTGAGACTTTCCCCACGCTCTCTGGACAGACTTTGCATGTGTGTGTGCCCCACATTATTATTAGCTAATTAACCTTCATTCTTCTGGGGCCATTTTCTTTCTAGTGATACTGATGTCTTTTACATGCTGCTCTTGAGTAGTTCTTTCTTTTGGATGTGGTTTGGCCTAGTCAGACCCACTATGCACCTCTTCATTTCCCTTCAAGAGATCTTAAATCCAGTTCTTGAGATCCTGGGAGATTCCAGGACTTGGAGCCCTAGAACACCACTGGAAGATGCTGGGCCTTTGTTTCCGGGAGAAGCTTGGGCCGTTAAAAGAGTCCTGCAGTTTTTCCCATAGGCAACCCAGGCCATGTCCCCCCTCCTGTTTTTGTGCCTTTAAGCATTGGTAGGTAATAGACCCATTTTTAAATGTTAAGCGCTTTATTAATGCCCTTTTTTTTTACCCGTAACTATCACTTCCCAACGATCCTTCCCACTCTCTTCCCTTGTAACAAATAAGTACAAACAGGCAAACCAACACACAGACCATGTGTGAAAATGTTTGCCTCATTCCCCACCCTGTGTTCACCGCCTCTTTATCAAGAGAAGGGAGCTGTGCTGCCCCACTCAGTCTTCAGAAGTCATCCATTCATTAGTGGTCACTGCAGGGAGTAGAGTTCTGAAGCCTCTCTGCCTGTAGGCGTTACTTTATCATTGTCTTCATTTACATTGTCTTCCTTAACTTCACTCTGCAAATGTTCATCTTGGTCTTCCCAAACCCTAGGAATTCTCATATTTGTCATTTCTTTGGGTACAGTAATACCCTGCTACTTCACCTATTTCTGGATTCGATCGTGACTTTTAGCAAATCTCTTCTAGCCACAGATTGGCCAGAACTCTTTCTGCCCAAGACCATCCTTGCCTTAGACACACAAAGCTCGAGAGACATTTAACTCTTACTGGAGTAGCCAGTGACCCGAAACCAGCTGGAGACGCCGTTCCTCTCCTGGTTAGCCAGGCCACTGAGCAGGGAGGCTCTGGGGACTGCGAATGGGTCTCTGATTCATCCGATGGGTCTCTAACAGCATTCCAAAGCCACTTTTAAAAATACTATCTTTTTTCTTTTTTGATTCTCCTTTCTTTTAGCACTGATAAATGAGTCTGCTGTAGATCTAACCAGGCAAACCTTAGTGCTCCTCAGCAGCTGTATGTATGCATCTGTGTAGACGTGATGCTTCTGCTCTCCTAGGTCACTCCCTAGGTGAGTTCCAAGCCCCCTTCTAGTTCTAGGGGCTCATGAGTCTAGCTTTGTGTGAATAGACGAACTGTGCAGCTAATGAAAACAGCTTGGAAGCCTGGGTGTAAATCATGAGATTTTCTGTTTTCCATTTACCAATACGTTTTCCAGTTTATTTTGTAGAGATAAGAAATTATGCTGCCCTTTTTTTTTGTCTTTTTGTCTGTTTTAGATCTGCTTTATCAGACATATTTGATATAATTGATTTAGATGGAAATGGGCTTATTAGCCTTGACGAATATAACTTTTTTGAACTGAGGACAAGTGGTGAGAAATGTGATGAAGATGCCTGGTCTATCTGCAAGGGTAAATAAACTTTTTGCTTCTTAAAATAGGATGTCAGGATAACTAAAACCAGCAGTCATTTTCCTCTTTGTTCCAAAGTGACGTGATAAGTTTAAAATCGGTCAAAAGCACATTTTTGTTCTTTATCCAGTCGTGGTCCAGGACTGTCTTAGAAAGCTTTGCTTTATTCTTCTTCTTAGTCTGGGGGTATACACTGGAAGGGAGGTATAAACTAACCAGTGAGCATTTGTTTTGTCTCCTTCTGCCCTGGCGTGGTGCCAGGTCCTGGGACTCTGCCTTCTCATGGTTTCCACTCCATCAGATGAGAGGGCTTGGAGTTGTAGAAGTAGAGAGAGAAAAGCTGTGTGAAGAATAAACACAAAATAAATGTGAGAGTTTAATAGGGTGGTGGAGAGGCGCAGAAAAGGCATCGAGCAGCTGGTGGGGCTGGCGCTGAATCTTGTCAGAAGTTAAGAATCCTGCAGGTGATGGTGAGGAGGGAATGCGACCAGGCCCAGGGCAGAGCCAGGCACAGACAGGTGCTCCAAGCCAGGTGGTGGAAGGAGATGGAGTGCCAGGCAGGTGTGAAGAAATGAGAGAAAACCCATTTGACTGGATGGTAGAACGTGGGAAGGGGAGTCGTGTGTCATGAGCCTGGAAAGGTAGTTCCCTGGAGTAATTAACAAGTCACTCAGTCACAAGACATGTACCTAGCACCTCCGAGGTGCCAGGCACTGGGGATACAAGAAAGGCAGAAACAGCCCCTGCCCTCAGGGAGCTCACCCTCTGTGGGAGAGACAAGTTGTAAGTGATTAGGTTCCTAGAAGAGCTTTGCAGAGTAAACGGGAGGCAATGTGAGAGGGAGAGGAGCCAGGAAGGAGCCCAGCCTAAGGGAGAGGTGAGCTGGGTCTTGAAGGGAGACAAGGAAGGGAGAGGTGAACTGAGGCAAAGTTTCCAGGCAGGGAGCAAGCCCATCGGAGACCCAGAGACGGGAGGAAGGGTCCCGTCTGAGCGAGTGTGGATGAGCCAATGCAGCGAGATCCTGGAGAAGTGTCAGAGTACAGGGAAGGGAGGATTGGGGCTGGATAGGAAAAGCACTCATTGCCAAACGGAAAGTTTGATTTTTGGTCATTGTGGTAATAGGCAACGTGCTTGTGTTGAGATCTGTGCTTGAGGAAAATCACTTTGGCAGCTGAATAAAGGATGGATTGGGATGGGGAGAGGCTTGGGACAGGGGGACCAGTTAGAAGCCTGTTTAACTAGTCTGGGCAAGAAAAGATAAGGGTCTGAGCTAGGGTCATGGCTGTGTGAGTGGAGAGAGGGGAATTATATACAAGAGAAATTGTGAAGGTAGAAACGGTAAGATTTAGTGAAAAGCTGGATATATGTGATGAGTGAGAATGAGGAGTACAGGAAAAGGCTGTGATTATGAATTAGACAGGCTGGAAGGCTGGCGATATCCTCAGCAGAAATAGGAAGTCTTGGCACACCGGCACGTTTGGGATGGCAGGAACGTTGAGTTCTGTTCTGGACGTGTTGAGTTTCAGGTGTGTCTAGAATACCCATTTTTAAGGGTTTACCAGGTAGTTGATGATGTCAGAACTGGGGCTCAGAGGAGATACTCCAACTGCATATATAGATCTGGGAGTCATCTGCTTAGAGATGATTGCTAAACCCATAGGAGCTGAGGAGACCACCCAGTGGGGGAGTGTAAAGCGGGATGTGTCACGGGCTCCTTTGACAGTCTGCTGAAGCCTTTGGCCACCTCCATTTTTTAAATGCGTAAAATACAATACAGAGGATTACAGAGGAAACCAATTATATCAAAATACAGTTATCAAAATGTTCTTTAGAACAAATTCACGGACCCCAGGTTAAGAATCCCCAGTGAAAAGAGTTCATGTCACGTCAGATGGTTAAAGGAGTTAAAGGTGTTTATCAAGGATACTAAAAATACTGAAGGGGGTGGGGGCACGGGAGCTGCCTCTGAGGAGGGAGACTGTTCCCTGCAGTTTGTGGGGAAACTACAAAGTTATGCCCCGTACATCTGTTGGTCTTGCTTTTCAGTGTCTTCTTTGTAAATTTATAAATGTCAGTTGTACTGTTCACAAATGAACATTTATATCCTAAAGGTTCATATAAATATTTGAAAAATAGTTAACTCATGCTTCTATTTCCCTAAAACCAGAGAATTTTGATACAAAGAAGAACGAACTAACGAAGCAAGGATTTATGGATCTCAATCTAATGGAAGCCAATGATCGAGAAGGAGATCCGAGTGACCTCTGGGTGACTCTGCAGTCAATGGGCTACAACAAAGCCCTGGAGATGGTAGAGGTAAAAAGTGTTTAAACATTGCCTGTGTTGTTAATTCACGGCCTTTTTTCTTTTCACCTGCAAAACCAGAAACTTGCCAAGTGAACTTTTCATGTAGGGCATAGATTTCAGACAAAGCTCCCAGACTCTTTCATCCAGTCCCCGTACTCATTCAGTGTATGTAGGAATCGTGCCTAAATGTGCAGTGTTGTTTCTGCTCCCTTTAATTAGCCTTGCACAAGATTTGGTTGTTGCCAGTATTTTAAGAGCGCAGAAGACTAGAACCGGATTCGGATGTGAAAAGCGGGCAGCTCCATGACTTCTTAGTGTGTAGACTGTCTCGGCAGAAATAGTTTTTTAAGTTGCTAACACATTTCTGTAGAGGACTGTGGGTGCTCTCTTATCCCCCCAGAACACGATCTGTGATTCTGGTACAGGAAGGAAGAACGTTCCCTTTAGAGAGATGAGAATTCAGGTATTCTTCATAACCTGATGCACAGTGATTCCTGCCAGATCTAAAAGGGTAAGGTATTCATGAGGCCTTTCTGTTTCAATGCCAAGCTGGCCCGCTCTGGCCAGGACCTGGATCAGGGCAAGTTTGTTGGGAACGTGGATGTGTAGGATTAATGCTGATGTTAACCCTTTGGGGGCTTGGATCACATTAGTTCTTGGTTACATTACTGTTTGGAAGCCACTTGAAGCAGGAAAGTCAATCCAGACGTTTTTCACCAAAATGGCAGCGACTGTCAACAGTCTATAGAATTCAAGGTCAAATTGGACCTGACTGGCCATTTAGTCCAACTCCAACCTGGAATGTCTGACGAGTGGCATCGGATTTTGCTGAAAGATCTCAGATTGTGGGGAAGCCACTTGCTCTCAAGGCGACGCATCATTCCACTTTGGATAGCTCTAATTCTTAGGAAGTTTTTCCTTCCCTCAAACAATTAAACAAATTTAGAGAATATCTGCCCATTTCTCTTGGCTGTGACCTTTAATGACAAAAAAGTGATAGATGGCCCTTCAGATTCTTGAAGAGAGCCATCGTGCTCTCCACTCCCCTCTCTCCTCCCCCATCTTTTATTCTCCATGAGAAAAATCTCCAGTTCTTTCAGCTGATCCCTTGGGATTCCTCTGGATGAGCCAGCTTATCAAGGTCCTTCCTAAAATGTAGTGATGCCCATAGTTGTAGAATGGCCGGTGGGACTGCCACCTCCCCGTGCCTAGCAGCTGGGCCTCTCCTCATGCTACCCAAGCTCATGGGAGCTTCCTTGGCTGCTCATAGCTCATGTTGAGCATGTGGTCCACTCAGACCCCCAGAGCTTCTTTAGACAAAGTGCTCTTTGGTCATGCCTCACCTGTTTCATACTGAGGAAATACATTTTTTAACCTACAAGAAAGACTTCATATTTGCCCCATGTATGAAGTAACACTTCCTGTTTCTTTTTCATATTACTTCTTTTGATTTTATGTTGCCTTCCCTTACAAATATGCCCCACCTTCCTCTCCTACCCATCCCTTTCAACAAAGAATTCAAGAAAAAGGGGAAAAGGCAGCTCAGCACACTGCTGTCCATCACCCACGACTGACCAGCCTCTCCCCCTTCTTCATAGAAGGGAGGAAGTGTCCTTCTCCCACTTCCTCTTGTGTGGAGGTTGGGCTTGATGGTGCTTGAGGTTGTTTGCTGTGGGCATTTCTTTGGGCCCCAGTCGGTGCTCTGGACAGGGTCTTCATGGCTCTGTTGGCTTCGCTCCGCCTCGGTTCACATTGGTCTTTGGAATCCTGCAGCACTGTTCTTGTGCCCCAGCATCCAAATGTTGCCACCCCACAAAGTGCCACAATGAGTGTCTTGTTTGATGTGGTGCCAGGCTTGCAGTTGGGAGCATGGAGAACAAGAATGGTCTGAGAAGAGAACGTTGGAGTCGCACCGTTTCAGTTCTGGGTCCTAACTGCTCTCTACAAGAGTGGGACCGATTTACAGTTTGACCAGTGAGGGGGCCTGCCTCTTTACAGCCACTCCCCCCCCGATATTCACTACTTTCATAGCTTGTCATCTCTGTCTGTTTGCTGGGTGCCAGGTTTTTGATTGGCATTTTCCTCATTATTCATAATTTGGAACATCTTTTGTTTTTTAATCTCTGTAATTATTCTTTTGAGAACTGTTTGTAAATATTCGCTGACTATTTATTGGACGGTGGTTGTTGGCCATATAAATTTACTTTTGCTTTCTCCATCTTGAATATCAGCTCCCTGTTGCATTTCCTCTTGTTTGAATCAGCTCTGATTTTTCTGAATTCTGCCCGTCATCCAGTCCAGTTTGACAACAGTGCCATCTCTACCTTAATCCAAGCCACTGATAAAAATGTTAAACAGCACAGGGCCAAGCACACTGCCATGGGGCAGTCTCTGTCCTCACTTACCCTCATCTCTCCATCTTTTCTACAGTCACGGCACAAGTGACTTTGTTGAACACTTAAAATCCGGGGAAACGACTTCTAGGATTCCGCTCTTCTGCCGCCAGTGTGGTAATCCTACAAGTGTCTCCCCTCCCTCGATGCTGCCTTCTCCTCCAGCCTCTGCTCCAGCTCAGCTCCTTGGAAATATCCTTTTCCCTCAGGGCCTCTCACTTCCTCTCCTTGCATTCTCTTCTTCAACACTACAGTCTGGTACCCAGTATCCTCCTGCAAGGAAACTGCTTCCTCCAGAGTCACCCATGATTTAATTGCTTAGTCTGATGGCCTTTCTTCAGCCCTCACACACCCTGACCTCCTTGCAGCATTGAACAATGTCGATCCCTTTCTCCTGAATACTCTTTGCTCAGGGTTGTGTGACACTGTTCTTTCTATATTGTCCTCTTGTCTGACCTCTCTTCTTCCCTCTTCTTTGCTAGGTCTTCATCCACACCATGGCCACTGCCTATAGGTGTCTCAGTTCTCTATATATTTGAGAAATGAGGCCTTTATCAGAGACATTGGCTGTAAAGATTGTTTGCCAACTTTCTGCTTTCCTTTTAATCTTGGTTGCATTGGTTTTGTTTGTGCAAAACTTTTAAAATTTAATATAATCAAAGTTATCTATTTTACATTTCATTCTTTTTTTTTTGTTTTGTTTTTGTTTTTTTTAGTGAGGCAGTAGGGGTTAAGTGACTTGCCCAGAGTCACACAGCTAGTAAGCATTATGTGTCTGAGGTCGGATTTGAACTCAGGTCCTCCTGACTCCAGGGCTGATGCTTTATCCACTGTGCCACCTAGCTGCCCCTGTTTTACATTTTGTAATGCTGTCTCTTGTCTGGTCATAAATTTTTCCTTTCTCCATCAATCTGACAGGTAAACTATTCCTTGCTCTCCTAATTTCCTTATGATGTCACCCTTTGTGTCTAAATCACGTAACCATTTTGACCTTATCTTGGTATATGGTGTGAGATGCTGGTTTATACCTAGTTTCTGCCAGACTGCTTTCTAGTTTTCCTTGCAGTTTCTGCCGAGTAATGAGTTCTTGCCCCCAAATCTTGGATTTTTGGTTTTATCAAATATTAGATTACTATGTTCATTTATTATTGTGTATTGCGTGCCTAGTCTATTCCAGTGATCCACTACTCTGTTTCTTAGCCAGTATCCAATTGTTCTGATGATTACTGTTTGGTAATACAGTTTGAAATCTGAGGCTGCTAGGCCGCCTTCCATGATTCCTTTGATATTCTTGACCTTTTGTTCTTCCAGATGAATTTTGTTATATTTTTTTCTAGCTCTATAAAGTAATCCTTTGGTAGATTGATTGGTATGGCACTGAATAAGTAAATTAAGTGGAATTGTCGTTTTTATTATATGGCTCGGCCTCCCCATGAGCAATTAATATTTCTCCCATTGTTTAGATCTGTTTTTATTTGTGTGAAAAGTGTTTTGTAATTTTCATACAGGGTTTGTCTTGGCAGGTAGACTTCCAAATATTTTATATTGTCTGCAGTTATTTTCAGTGGAATTACTCTTTCTTTCTTTTCCTGCTGGGTTTTATTGGTAATGTACAGAAATGCTGACGATTTATGTGGGTTTATTTTATATCCTGCAACTTTGCTCAAGTTGTTAATTATGAAATTTCAAGTAGTTTTTAGTCGATTTCCTCGGGTTCTCTAAGTATCCCATCATGTCATCTGCAGAGTTTTCTTTCCGTGTTGCCTTGTTTTCCTGTCTTACTGCTATAGCTCGTATTCCTAGTACGGTATTAAATAATAGTGGTGATGATGGACATCTTTCCTTCACCCCTGATCTTATTGGGAAAGCTTGTCGGAGTGGTTTTCCTAAGCATGAGTCTGACCACGGCACCCGTTCTACTCAGTAAACGCCAGTGGCTCCCTGTTACCTCCAGGAACAAATGAAAATAATAACAATAAAAGCTAGAATGTGTTAAGTGCCTCCTCGGTGCCAAGTGCTTTATAATGTTACCTTTTTTGAGCCTCACAATAAGACTGTGAGGTAGGTGCTATTATTATCCCTATTTACATTTGAGGAAACTGAGGCAAACAGAGGTGAAGTGACTTGCCCAGGGTCACGCAACTATTAGTGTCTGAGGCCAGCTTTGGACTCTAAGCCCAGCACTCTGTCGTGTTGCCATCCTTGCCCTCTGTTTGGCATTTAAAGCCTTTCCCAACATGGCCCCTTGCTACCCTTCTGGTTTTCATAGACTTTACTCCTCATCCACACACACACTCAACTATCCAGCCATCCCGGCCCATGTTCTAGGCTCCATCTTCCATCTCGGCCTTCCCCACCTCTGTCTCCAGGCTTCCTTGGCTTCCTTGGAGATTTAGCTGAAATCCCACCTTCCTCTCCCCAGATGCCAGACAGCTCCTCACTCCAGGGCTGCCTTCCAGCTAGTCCACATTGATTTTCTGTGTGTGCCTGTTTATTTACTTGTTGTCTCGGTTAGACCGTGAGCTCCTTGAGGGCAGGGACTGGATTTTTTGCCTTTCTCTGTATGCCCAGTGGACAGTGCCTGGCACATAAGTACTTCATAAATGTTTGTTTATTACTTGTTAACATAGTTTCTCATTCCTGTTTTTTATGAAGTTATCCTATTAGTGATAATGACCTCCCCTTCTAGCTTTTCATTAATTATCCTTTTAATACTACGTTCAGGAATTTTACAGTTCACATGTTGCCAGCCTTGGCTGTGGCCCCCTCAGCAGTGATGTCAAACGTGTTGGAGTCAAGAGTTCTCGATTTGGAGGTTGAAGAGCCCTGGATTCAAGTTCTGCCTCTCTCCCTCACTGAGCCATATCTTTGCATCTCTGTTGCATTATCTGTAAAACAGGAGAAACTGAACTCAGCACCTTCCCTCTCTCCCTCTCCCCTACCTTCCCTATTACTGTGGAAGGCACCACCACCCTCCCAGTCCTTCAGGCTCCCAGCCTAGGAGTCATCCTGGACTCCTCACTCCCCCCCATAACCAAGCTGGTGCCACGCTGGTGTCGACCACCTCTGTAACATCTCTCCGGTATACCCCTTTCCTTGCTCTGACACGGTGCCCCCCCCAGTACAGACCCTCATCACCCCCTACCTGGACTGTTGCTGCTGGGGGGTCTGACCGTCTCCAGTCTCTCTCCACTCCAGTCCATCCTGCATTCAGCCACTAAAGGGATTTTCCTAAAGCTCGGGTCTGACCATGTCTAGCGGCTCCCTATTCCTCCAGGATCAGATACAGAACGCCCCTCATTCCAACCTCCGAGTCTTATTCTTCAATATGACTCTTTGACCCAGTGACCCTGGCCTCTTGGCTGTCCCAAGAACACGACCCTCCGCCTCTTGGCTCTGGCCATTGTCTGTGGTTGTCCCTCATACCTGGGATGCTTTCCTCCTTCACTCTGATGACCTCCCTGGCTTCCTTTAAGTACCACCTAAAATCACCCTCCCCCCTTTTCTTATTGAAAAGAAGACTTTGAAAATATTTTCTTCTTCTTGTCTTCATGCTTTGGCCAAATAAATGTTGTGGCCACAAATTTTAAAATATCTGAAATCATTATTGGAAAGGGCCCTGAGTTGTTCCCGTAGGCAGGGATTGTTGTTTTATCCTGCACTAATAACCAATGGATACAGGTGCTCAGGCTCTGCTGGTCAGTTGGGGCTTCCCCTGGGTTTCCCTTCTGCAGCCCGAGCAGGGTGCTGGAGAGAGCTGCTAGCAAAGGCAGAGGACTTGCTGTGCTGAGCCCTGGGGCAGGTCCCTTGGCCACCGTCAGCTCGGGTTTGGGAGTGGTTTGTTTCCCAGAAGGCCAGCCTCTCACAGCTTCTTCGACTTGCATCCTTTTAGCTGATTTAAGATTCCGAAAGAAAACGTCATAAGATCTTAGGACAGTAGAAAGCCTTTGACCCAAAGGAAGAGAGAGTTGTGCTGAGAAGAAGCTGACCTCTCTGTGCTTCTCGCACTAACCAGTGCCCCTCTACCAGGTCAGGAGTCCGGGGCTTGTTTCCTTGGAAAGCTGAACTGGCCCGATTCAGACCAGCCTGAAGGAAGCCCTACTACGCTCAGGGCCCGGGCCAAGCACAGGGACGGGAGAGGACAGGGTCCGTCTCTTTAAGGGGTTGTCCTCAGAGAGGGGCAGACAGGAACGCGTCCCAGTAAACAGTGTCATGAGAGTGAACGGGATAACTCGGATGGATGCAACATGGCGAACGTGGTGTAGGTTCTGTCCCAGAACATAAAAGCTATAAATGTCACATCCTCATTGGGTTTTTCCCCCGGCAGGCATGCCCATTCGTCATTGACATCTACACGGAGAAATGCCGGCCCAGGATTAAGGCCGTCCACCTGGGGTCCGGCGGCCTTCCTTTTGAGAAAGCCCTTTGCCAGTCTGTTATTGACAAAGGCGACGCCAAAGCCATGGACAGCCAGGAGAATGTCTTCCTCCATACCTACAAAAGCGATTTCCGGATCACGTCAGTTCTTGAAAATAAGGTATTCATTATGACTGGCTGTCTCTAGCTGTCTTCCATATATGCTTATACTGTCTCATCTCCTTTCTGTGACTGGCAAAAGAAACTTTCTGTTACATCAATCTTTTAAAAAAAATATTCAAGAAAGCTGTTTTTTACCCTTTCTAGTTCCATGGAATTCCTAATTTAGGGCAATGTTATTCTAGAGGGACTCTGAAATCCTTGTTATTTAATTTTTTTATTCAGAAAACTTACCAGAAATTGAAGAGAGGGGAAAAGGCGTGGATTTGCGGCTTTCGTTGATGGTTAAATTAATATAAGTTTCAGCTTGGCACACACAGAATCACTCAGATTTAGAGACGGATTTCTGGAAGTTACTCACGTCACCATAAAGGTTAAAGGTGACCTTAAGGTGATGTGCTCCTAGGAGAGTGCTTAGCTGTATCAGCTGCCAGCTTCACGCTCCCAGAGCCAGGCCTGGTTGGGACTTGGTCACAGAAGGGAATGGTGCCTCCTATGTGCCCGCCACTGTGCTAGGCAAGCCCTTTACAAATATCATCTCGTTCGGTCAATCACTGAGCGGCCCAGGTCTACGTTCAGCCCTGGGGATGTGGATACAACAGCGAGACCATCCCTGCTCTCAGGAAGCCTTCGTTCCAGCAGGAGAGACAAGGACGTTGATGGTCATGTTCAGGATAGAGCAGAGGGAGGAATGGTGCGGGCCCAGGAGGGGACAGGAGCTGAGGGGCACCCCGAGTGAGGGCCTGGCCTGGGTGAAGACCCGCGTCGTGGCGAAGGCAGATTTACCTCCTTTCATGAGGGTGGCTAGTTCAGCCGGCTCGTCCACCACATAGATGCTCATACTGTATGTGTGTGGGCACCTCTGGCCATGCGTTGGGTCGCTGCCCCGTCTTAAGTGCTGCCCCTGCCAGTCCCCTGTCCCTCTTCACCCATCTCCCTGCATTGTTTCTGTTACTGACCGAGTGACGTGGTGGACAGAGAGGAAGAGTTTTCTCTGCCACCCTGCCCCTATTCCCCGTGGGAGCCCTCGGTTATTTCAAATCATCTTCTGGGTCTTTCAGCACAACCCAGCCGAGATTATGAAATAAACTCTAGGTTATTGGTCAGTTCCTTCAAGTTCTGGGGCATCTTTTTGTCTTAAATTTGTACAGTACTGATGAGAATAACCAGTCAGTCACATAGGCGTTAGGGTCTCTCAATGTCCCGGTATCATGCTAGATACCATGGGGCATCTAGAGAGGAGTGAGGCCCGGCTTCTACTTTCAGAAAGCCAGAGTCTTATTGGGCGGTGAGCGGTTACACGCTGTGATACTCGGCTGTGGCGTATTCCCTATGAAGTGCATTAAGATGTCAGAAGTAGAAGACTTTGTGGACTCAAAGAGTCAGGGAAGCGCTCATGGAAGGAGGAGGAATGGGTAGGATTTGGACAGATGAGAACAGAGCACACGCCCGGCACGGGAGACAGGAGAGCGGAAGGAGGCGGGCTTGTTCAAGGAGGAGGCATGTCACTGGTCACCTGGGGAAGAGGCAGGACGAACCTGCGGGAGTGAGACGGGACGTGAAAGGTCTTCGTGGTTATTGACAAGCTCATGACTTACCGAAGTATGGACTAAAAATGTCATCTTGTTTTACAGTCAGAGAATAAAGTGGTCATTCATGTCAACAATGAGCTAAGTAAAAACTGTGTAAATAACAGAAGTCTCAGCATTTTCGCCGTGGAGCTGGCGCCAAAGTCCACGACGGTAATTAATGCTCTCTTCTAAGTTACCCCTCAACTTAATCCTGCTGTGGCCATAGTGAACGTGCAAATAGGAAAGGAAACAGTGTCCGAATCTAATCACGGTAATTAATGCCTCAGTCATATGGATAGTCCTGGCATGTCAGGCGTTGCTCTGCCAGCGGTCAGCTGTGTGACAGGCAAGGCCAGGCACTCTCCTTGTCCATGTCCATTTTTTAATTTGTAAAATGGGGCTGAAACCTCACCCAGCCACTACATAGCCTGGTCAGAAAGCTTGAAATAGATTAAGTAGTGATCCCTCATCTTCCTAGGACTTAAGGGTTTACAAAACATTTCCTTCACGACAACCCTATGCAGTGGATACTACAGGTTCTGTTATGTCCATTTTACAGATGGAAAAACCAAGGCCCAGAGGCTTAGAGCTGAGAGCTGAACTCGCATCCTCTTACCCCAACTCCACCCTCTGTCCACTACCCTAGATAGTCTGCTGATGTCTCAGCTCTGAGGCTTGTGATTTCCAGGTTTCATGAGCAGCATCCAAGATTCAGATTCAGCCAGAAGTGGGGGCTCAGAGCCAGACTGAGTCACCGTGACTGTGGGTAGAGAAAGAGAAATGAGGATGGTGTTCACCCTTCTCCCTTCCCTGGCCCAGCCTGCGATGTCTTCCCAGTGCTTCCTCAGTCAGTCTGGAAACACTTATGGAGCACCTACTGCGTGCCAGGCATTGTGCCAAGTGCTTGGGGTGGAAGAAGAGACAAGTGTCTGTTTCTTTTCTTTCCCTCCCCTTCTCCCAGGGCTGAGGGTACAACCTGATTTGGTTTGGATTACGTCATTAAGAGTCAAATCATAGATTACTATGTCCATAGCCGGGAGATCTCATCTTGATTTGTTGTGGAGGACTCAGTAATGTTGGCTCACCAAAAACCACCTAAAAATAAGGTTCTACCTTCCTTTTGTTTATTGGTCATTTTTCCCTTCGCAGGTTTGTCAGCACGTGATGCCTATGAATGAGCGACAAGAATGGGTCTATAATTGTGTGTATTCACTCGTGTCCTGAGGCTGGCGTGGACGGTGACTCCTCTGACACTGCCCGACCACGATGGGCAACTCCAGGCTAACTCTGTTCTCTGTTGACCGGTCAAGTCGTGACGTGACGAATGTGCGCTTCTCTGGCGTCATCTCCCTTTCAGCTGTTGTGTATTGTTGATTACAATATGTGTGTGTGTGATACATTGCAGTGTGTTCCATTTTCCTCATTTGGGGAGTAAATCCAGGGCATCTTTTGCTTAATACTTTCTTCCTGATTGTATTAACATCAACCAATTGTAAATAAGCCTTTGCCACAGCACCATTAAATGATTTACATAAAATATCACAGATATTTAGTATGTCTTAATTAAAAGATATGAAGTTGTATCCTTAAAATATAAAAATATCATTAGGCTAGACATTTAAATTATTTTCTAATTAGAAAAAAAGACATTTAAAGCAAAATTTGGTGCATTTTTTTATATTATAATAACCAGAGGGAAAAAAGCAATGAGAATATAAAACAGGGAATTTGTGAAATATTCAATAGGTTTGCCAACTGTCATTATTGCTAACTTATCTGTAGATTTGTTCAAAATTTATAAATATGTAGACACTTAAAATGTTCTTATTTTTAAAATAGGTATTAAGCATATTCAACCTAGTTTAATAGGGTAGCAGCAGTCCTTGAAAAACTATATTTATCAACTAGCACAGCAGAACTCTATTACACAGTCTTCTGTAATAGAATATGAGGCCAGTAAATGTCAGCTATGAAATAGGAATACCATCATAGAACTCTAATTATTTTTACATATGGTATGTGCTGGTGCTTAGTTCTTTCTTGAAAGGTCATTTATTTAATTTTTGTTAAGCAGTTTAGACATCTGCAATATGGGTTAATAAATTCTTAATCCTGAGCTGGGAATCAGGAGACTTGGGTCCTAGTTCAGGCTCTGTAACTATTTGTCTTGGTGGCCCCATACAAATCAGTTAATTTCTTTTGACTTCAATTTTTACATCTGTAAAATAAGAATGCAGCTATTGCATAAAGAAAGGTTTTTTGAATTAGCAAGAAAATATGGCAAAGAATAGCACTATCTAAAATTGAAGAAAAATTGTCAAAATAAAAATAAAATTGTGTTTTGTGAATTTTTAAAAAACAATATAAAATAATAAATTTATCTCATGAAAGAGGAACGTAAAAGCTCATCCAAAACACCAGTTGCCATAGTTTCATCTTTCATTGTACTTAATATTTATAACCTGTATAAAGAATGCAGTTAGAGAATTAAAAACATGTTTTCTATGTAGATCACTGCCCAACAATTTATCACTAATTTTTAAAACATATTTATGTGATGTATTGTAATGGATACAGTACCAGACTTGATTTATGGATGACTTAGCACCTTCGGATATGGCCTCTGACACAAGCTATGAGACCATGTGCAAGTCCCTTAACCTTTCTAGTCCATAGACAGCCTTCTGAAAGTGTAAACTGAGATGATTTACAGCCAACCTCAGTGGAGGGTGATCCCCACCCCCAGCAAAATCATAGGTCTTAGGTATGTAGGCATAATTGTTATCCAGACTACACTTCACAGAGCTCAATAAATGAAAAATCCCAAGACCAATTTGGAGGTAGTTCTAGTCATCTAAACTTTGATTTCATTTCCAGCTAACATGCTATCAATCAGATTAAAAAGATGGATTAATGGGGCAGCTAGGTGGCACAGTAGATACAGCACCAGCCCTGAAGTCAGGAGGACCCGAGTTCAAATCCAGCCTCAGACCAAACACTTACTAGCTGTGTGACCCTGGGCAAGTCACTCAACCCCAATTGCCTAAAAATAAAAAATAAAAATAAATTAAAAATAAAAGATGGATTAACCACAAGGATTGCAAAAGTATTTGGAAGAAATGAAGCAAAAGATAAAAAGTGAAATTATAAATGAAATGAGAGTTTGGGGGGAAATTTTAAAGGAGAATGAATAGCTTAGAATAGAATATAGAAAACCTTACCCAGTAGCGGACTCCCTGAAAATATAATGGAGCAAGCAGAACTCAGAGATTCATGACACAACAAGAAATATTAGAACAAAGACAGAAGATTGGTTAAAAAAGAAAAAAGAGAGAGAAAGAAAGAAAACATAAGGTATCAACTATCAGAAACAACTGACCTGAAAAAGAGGTAAAGGAGAGATAATTTAAGAATCATTAGATTCCCTGAAAACCATAATCAGTGAGAAAAGCTGAACACCGTATTTCAAGTAATCATAAAAGAAAACTATCCAAATCTACTAGAACCAGAGGGCAAAGAGAAAATGGAATTCACTGATAACCTCCTGTAAGAAAACTGAAACTGAAAACAACCAGGGATGGCATCATCAAAGTATAAAGTTTCTGATTCAAAACAAAAATACTGTAATTAACCAGAAGGAGTACGCCCAGTAGTGGACTCTCTGAAAAATATAATGGAGCAGGGGCAGATAAGTGGTACAGTGGTTAGAGCTCCAGCCCTGGAGTCAGGAGGACCTGAGTTGAAATCCGGCCTTAGACACTTGACGCTTACTAACTGCGTGACCCTGGGCAAGTCACTTAACCCCATTGCCTAGCCCCCCCCCAAATATATATATATATATATATATATATATATAAAATGGAGCAAGCAGAACTCAGGGACTCATGACAGAACAAGAAATGTTAGAACAAAGACAAAAGATTAGAAAAAAAACCCATAAGGTATATAAATGAGATACATGAGAAAAAGAGCATACAAACATGGAGGAAGGTTTTTGGGGAGGAGCAGGCATCTACTGACCTCTTATCTGAACTAGAATAAAGAACTTAAGAAAGTTCATCACAAAGCAGGATTTTTTTTAAAAGACTGTTTAATTGGGAGGTGGAAGGGTAAGAGGGATTGAAGATAGAGTAGCAAAAAAATTTTTTTTCACTAAAGTATCTTTTTTTAAATGCACGGAATAGAAAATATAGGCAAGAAAGAATCACAAATAAGCAGTTGAAAGTTACATGTAGAATTTAGTATATATTTAAATAGAAAAGCAAGCTGTACATAATAGATGTCTGCTGTTTCACATACAGCCCTGTTCTGCTTCAAGCAAGGTAAAAAACAAAATGAAACCCAGAGGTAGTGATCATGAGCAGCAACTTAAAAAAAAAAAAAAAAAAAAAAAGACATGATTAAAAGAGAAGTAAGGAACCACATTGTGTTTAAATGTTCCATGATTAAATAATATCGGTAATTAATATGTGTGCACCAAAAAGTATAACATCAAAGTACTTGAAAAAAATGCTGATTAAATTACAAGGAGTACTATAATAGTTGGGAATATCAATTTGCCCCTTTCAGACCTAGACAAAATTAACAAAAAGCTGAAAAAGAAGCTAAGAATCTGAATCAGGTTTTAGAAAAGTTGAGTAACACAAATCTGTGACAATTACCAAAAGTAAACATACAAGTTTCTCAGCTGTACTTGGCACATTTACCAAAAATGACAACAAACTAGGGAATAAAAACCTCATAAACAAATGCAAGAATATTTAAAATATCCTTTATTACCTGCAGTGCAGTAAAATTATGACCAATAAAGAACGTTTGAAGAGAGGACTCAAGTTTAAATGGGAACTAAATCATTTAATCATAAATAATTGGTGAATCAAATAGCAGATAATTTTATTAACAAAAATATTTTTTAAATGAGACAACATACCAGAATTTGGGAATGTGGACCAAACAACCAGTCCTTGGGAGAAAATTTACCTTTCTAAACAGATTCAACAACAAAAGAAAAAGGATGATCAATAAATTGATCATGTAATTAAAAAAACAGAAAAGCAACAAATCAAAAAGTCTCAACCAAACACAAAAATAGAAATTCTGAAAATCAGGGAAACAATTTAAACCAATAATCTCTGACTCTGACTCTGACCCTCCGACTTGATAAATAAAATTAGGACCTCTTTAGCTAATTTGAAAGAGACAGGAAAATCAAATTGCCAGTATCAAAAATTTTAAATGAGAATTTGTAACAAATAAAGAAAATTATTGGAAATTATTTCACCGAATTTATATGCCAGCAAAGCTGATAAGTGAAATGGATGTATATTTACAAGTATTCAGATTGACAAATCAAGAAATAGAGAATTTAATTAACCCAGGCTGAGGGAGAAAAAAAAAAAGATTGAGGAAGTCATAAAATAGCTCTCAAAAGGAAACTAACAAGACCAGTGAATCCTGTCATATGTCCAAAGACCAATTCCAGTGTTCTAGGAATTGTTTGTGAAAATAGAAAAAAAGAGAGATCCTAACAAACTATACTGAGACAATTATTATCCATTTATACCTAAACCAAGGAGAAAGAAAATAACATAAACCTATGCCTCTAAAGAATATTGATAAAGAAATTAAATAAAATACTAACAAAGGGACTATGTTATTGTTGTGTTGTTTCAGTCATGTCTGGCTCTTTGGCACCACATTTGGTGTTTTCTTGGCAAAAATACTGGAATGGCTTTGCCGTTTCCTTCTCTAGCTCATTTTACAGATGAGGAAACAGGCATGCAGGGTTAAGTTTCTTGCCCAGTGTCTGAGGCCACATTTGAACTCAAGTCTTCCTGATTCCAGGCCCAGTATTCTATCCACTGTGCCACCTCACTACCCAAGATAAGGAATAGGTTAGGAAAGAATCAAGGAAGAAGGAGGGGAAACCTACTACTTCATACCAATGGGATACAGGAGAAGAAGAACATACAAATATAGAGGAAGGTTTTGGAAAGAGCCGGCATCCAATGACCTCTTATCTGAAGCAAAATAAGGAACTTAACAGGATTCATCACAAAGAGGTTAATATTTTTTGTTTTTTGTTTTTTGGCTAGGCAATGGGGTTAAGTGACTTGCCCAAGGTCACACAGCTAGTAAATGTTAAGTATCTGAGGCCGGATTTGAGCTCAGGTCCTCCTGACTCCAGGGCCGGTGCTCTATCCACTGCGCCACCTAGCTGCCCTGAAGTTAATATTTTTTAAAATGATATGCCATGACCAAGTTGTATTTATACCAAGAATGTCAGTTTGGTTCATTATTAGGCAAACTATAAAGATAACAGACTATGTTAATAAAAAGTCAAATAATTATAACATACAAAAAAAAACCTTTTGACAATATATAACACCCCTTTATGTTAAAAATGCTAAAAAAAAATAGGAAAAGATAGACTGGTACTTCATATGTATGATAAACTAAAATCAAAGGCTACTATTATTATATTATTAGCTTTTCCAGTAAGATCAGGGGAAAGTGAGAATATTCATTGTCACCACTATTGT